AAAGTGTTTGAATTTCAAACACTTATTATTTAGAGTGAAAGGGACGTTAGGAAACGCATTGCTAAATTCTGCGAGAACTCGCGGCTACTTCTGAGAATCGTTTAATGCCGAGTCTGGATGATCATGGCAAGTGGTCCAAAACTTCAAACCCCAAGTTGTATCTAAGTACCTTATTCTGCTAGCCGATTGAAGTCATTCAACTCGAAAGCTTATTCGTTGAGTGTGTGGATATTAATGGGGATATCGTGTAGAAAAATGACCGTAACGAAACCTCTTGGAAAAGAACAGACAAAGATTTTTATTTTCCATATGTCCCTTCACTTACTGGCTTTCCCCGGCAATCATGCAAACGAGACGGTCCTGCGTGTCTTTGCGGCCGCGCGTTACAAGTCTGTATAAGGACGTCATGAATATCTGAGATTGTTGGCCAACGTGTCCTGCAACTTCTCTCCCCTGCGTGTTATTCTACACCGGCGATTTGTGCGTCTTGCCACGCAATGGCCGCACGTATTTCTTTGTGCACACTTTCTATAGAAGGAAACTGACCCGTGTTCGTCATGCGTATGTGTGCACCATGTAATAACAAATAATGATTAGGTCGGGACTGTGCTCGATCGTCGATTTAGGAATCACGTTTAACGATCTTACTTTCAGAATCCTTACATTGCGAATGCGCTTGTTTCGTGCCAATAATTTCTTTAATTGATATTTTATTAATGGCATACAAGAAGATACGAATTAAGATGTTATCGCAGCGAATCCGACGAGGAAAAATGCGACTTATTTGAAATGTAAATAATTAATATTAACATTGTTATTATATTGCCAGTAATTAATTTGCAGAACACGGCTTATGTCTTGCACACTGCGGTGCCTATTTAAAAAAAACAAAAAGAATCAGTTAACCCCGTATCGCTCCTATTGTTGTAACCGAAATCTTTCATATCTAAAGATTAACGCAGCGATTGAGAAATATCGAGGTGCATCGCGTACGACGCAAAAGGAGAACAAACGTGAATTGAAAACGTAACGCGTAATCGCGCATGGCCAATTAAGATTACGATGAAAAGATTCGTTCTAATCTTCGCATTAGTGCTATATTATCGCATTATTTCTTTATCAGCTGCTGATCCATCGGAGCTAATTAATTGTTAGAATAAAGACTCGGTTTAATCAGAGAATCAAACGCGCCTGTGAGGCACGTGAATTCCATCGGACGGCTTATAAATCGTTGCAATGCACATCGCGTCCCATTAGAATCGGAAATTGGAATCCGAGAGAAGCGCGATCCTGTACCTTACAGTCCGTAGTACCGCGAGTCACTTGACTCTATTCGATATACCGATGGTGTGTGCGACCAGAAGTTTTAAACGACCGAGTGAAAATTTTAATATTTTTGACGAATACTGTTGCCGTCATTTGCGGAAGATGATGAAACTCGCGCGCCCCATTTCGCTATGCAACTCTTCGCGCATATAAATATTCTAAATAATTCGTTTGCGTTTGCGTTATTTGCGCTTATCGTCGAGCTGCGGTGGATCTTATATAATACGCCTATTGCGCGCGACATAGTCTAATACCTGAAGGGGAAGTCTGTAACAATACGCTCGCACGTAGACAGAAATGAATCCGAAAGCAACGATATATATTATTGCATAGATATGGATACACACACACGTTAAATGGCAAAGAGAGATAAGTGCAAAGGTGGCTGTGCGGTTTACATACACACGTACATGGATTCTTCGTATATTAAAAAAAGAATGAGACCGGTAGCCGACTGACGTGGTGGGAGATACTTGCATGCCCCACCCCCATTAGCCCCTTATATTTTTATATCAACACCTAGTGCGGCTCAGGACGCTGCTGGGCCTGCAGTTTCTTCAGTGGCTTTGTATAAAATTTTCCAATTTTTTTTATCTAATATTATTGGCATTTCTTTTCCTTGAAATCTAATGTTTTATAATTAGTATTCCACGAGGCGGTTGCGGTTGTGCGTGACAAAGCAGTGTATTGTGCCTACAGTGCATTGTGGAAAAATTATGAAGACACACGAGTGCTCGTTCAGTGCGAAATAATCGGGATACATTTTCCTATACCGTGACTTTTCAGTCCATAGAAATGTTCGTTTTACAAGAGAAAAATTAACTGGTCGGTGAACCCTCAACGTTCTTTAAATCCCACAGACCTGGATGGCAGGTACTTGTACCTTTCATCGCACGTTGACAATACCAAGCTTAACAATTCGCTCCGATCGCCGGAGTCATTTTCCGGCACTCGGTTTCTCCTCAGTCGCTTCAATATTTTCAAAGAGGACACTTGCGCTCATCCAACGAGAAAGAGAAGAATGTTAAGTGAATTATCCGTTCGAGACTGATCGGCGCTTGGAGTTGTGAGGTTTCTCAGCGCACGGCTGGGAAGCCAAAACAGTGTTCGAGCCAAGTGAGACGGAAAGCATTCGTACGGCAAAGTCAAAAATCGTCCCTACGACTCATCATCTCTTTCTCCATTCACCCACGTCTTGTATCGTGGCGTAAACGTGATTTATCCTTGCCTCTCGCGAGCATCATGGACCGCAACGAGAGCACGAATGAGGGTGGCAGTTCGCCCGACACGGTAATCGCGCGCTCCTCGTCGGAGGAAGAGAAGCGGAAGTCGATCGTGGCCAGCACCTCTGGCGAATACATCACCGTGGGCGGCAGCAGTTCCAGTCTCGACACCCTGACCAGCGGTAGCGTCGCGACACTCTCCTCCAGCGCCAACGCCGATGACCGAAAAAAGAGTAAATTTGGCGCGTTGAAGAGCAGCTTCCGCGAGGGCAACTTATTTAAAATCAAGAGGAAGACACGCGGAACCGACGTATCCTCCTCCTTCGAAGCGGAACAGCACGATAAAGGTTAACCCCGACGTTTGACGAACTTTTGCGCTCCTTATTCGCGAGCTAGACAATAAATGACGAAGGAAATGCATGGGATATTTACATATCTTTTTAAGATCTACTTGTCGAGTCTTTTAATTCCCAGTTTCTTGATCTCTTTTCAACATTACTGATTACAAAATTGGAACGAGACGCGTTTACATTTTCCGAACGGCTTTTCCCTGACTCGCGATTCCCTTCCGCTTCAGAGGCATCCCAGCAGCAGCCGCACCGACTCGTGGACGAGAAAGAGCCGAAATTGATGACCGGTGCACTTTCCAGCGCGACTCTGAAGAAGAAGAAAAAGAAGTCGCATTCGCTGGTGCGCAAGCTGAGCTTGAACAAATTTCGCATGTCCTCGGAGCAGCAAGAGCCGCGACATACTCCGGAGGGTGGCAACAGTAGTCGATCGCAAAGCCAATCCTCGCAAGAGTCGCCCGTTCACACGTACGTTCGCGCCACGAAGAAAGAGAACGACGACGCCCTGGAAAGGGAAAAGGGGGCGAAAGAGGAGCTTACGAAACCAGAAAAGCTGCTCGAGAAACCGGCCAAGACCGTCAGCGTAGTGCAACGCAAATCGCCGTCACTGACCATCAAGAACGTAGCAGAGACCGTTCAGCCGGGTGAGCCTCGTATGAATGCTATGGGTCGCGGATGCAAAACCTGCGTAAAACTGAAAGCCGGAAGATCCCGCGACATTCGCTTGCTAACGATTTCATGATTTCATTACGTACCTGACGTGCTTTTAAGAAATTAACTCTGGGCAGATATATCTGCGGTTTTTGAAAAGTAGAATCTACAGATACATATGTATTTAAAAAATGTATACGATACGTATGTCTGGATCTCGTTTCTCAGAAACACGCGTTACGTCTCTTCAAATTTTATTTCTTCCTTTTATGTTGTCGCTTATCCTATTTCACGTTGAACCTGCTCGTAACAGCGCACGTAGAACCGCACGATTATATTGGCTACTGTAGCACAGCACTGTCGCGACGTTGTAACCGCTGAAAGCTACTTAAGACGTAAAACCAACCGTACACGTATTCTGTATACAGCCGCGCGTCTTGAAATTTCTCCTGAACATTCGCAACGGGAGAATCAAGATAACGCCTCTCCTTTCGACAAACGATGCAGCTCGACACTCCCATACACGTTGTCGAGATGGCCGGAGCATAGCGAGACCAAGTTCGCGGAGAATCCGACGGCCAGGAGGGGCAAAGTAAAGGCGAGATACGATTCGGAATCCTCCTGTATGAAACCGTCGACATCGTCGCCCGTCGAGGTTCGCCGCAAGCTATCGCTGCTGGAAGAGAAGCGAGCGATATTCCAGCGACGTTTCTTTGATTCGAAATCTGAGGACGCGACGCGCTCGGATGAGACGGTGGTCGACGTTAACACCCGCGACGAATTATCGAGCGCCAACAGCAACGAGGCTCTTCGACGGCAGGAAGAGGAAAGGAGGAAGAACGTGCGACATATTAGCGTGAGGACCTTCGACGCGTTCTCCACTTTCGGCAATACCCTCGACGAAGAGGACCTATCGGAGGATTGCAACGATACGGGCAGCAATTATCCCAGACTTTACACTGCCATGGTACCCATGCTGGGAGCCGTGGACCACCTTGAGGTGAGATCCATCGCGCAGGAGCGAGATAGAGTTGTCTGCGTTGACGTTTCACAGCGTTGTGGCACTGAATTGCGAACTGTGCGTTACGCGTATGTATGATGAACTTTGTCGCGTTGGACATACGATAGCTTGGACTACTGCACATTGGCGGACTTGCGGTCAAACTTAGCAAAGCTCTGTGTAATTAGAATTGATAGAGAAAAGAAATGCTCCGCTTTTGATGTACATTCATTCATAGAAATGGTTTTCGACGTGGATCGGTTTAATACTCCAATATTGGGCGGGACAGGATCGAATGCATTAGAGACTCCACTGCTAATCCAGTCACACGCTGCGGTACGCGTTTGCGGTACCTTTCTGATACCGATCCGCTTACATTTCTGCCTCTTTGGAGCTCGTGTGTCCTCGTCCGTCACAGAGTTTCGAGTTACATGGGTTTGCACGTTGTATTATATTGCGCCTACGTTTAAAAGGGAAAGAAATGTGCGATTGTACAGATAACCGAGGTCGCTCAGAGGAAATCGGGGAGAATAGAAATAATCCATTTCAAAGATTTATCATCCTAATCGAGATGGAAAGCGGGAAGGACGTCTGTCACTCTTGGTTAGTAAATCGAATTCGATTATTCAGATTGTCGATAATGCATTCATTAAGACGCGAAAGGCTTATTGTTGTATTTATAGTTCTCGTACGGTCCCCCACGACAGTGTGCTCGGGGATAATTCTCCCACATGCAAGTCTCTCGGTTCTTTTCGTTCGCGCGAGCTGCGGCAGCCAGATCATTCGCGAGGAGCGTAATTATTTTCAGTCTCCCAGAAGCGTACAGACGTCTAGGAAGTCGCGGGTGAACATGGACGTCGAGTTAAAAATTTGGCGAAGTTTAGAAACGTTCGATTTCGGCAAGTGGAAGGTGCAGCCGAAAGAATGGAAGTGGCTCGGGGTTCGTCGCAAATGTTTGCGTTTCTAAAACAGTTATTTAATTTAGATTTTTCGTTGCTACATATAAGCGATACTTGATAATTGTCCAATTATTTGTGACGCGTCATATGTGCGTATATTTTCTCTCTCTTTACCGCATATAAACGTATTCAGCGTTGTTGGCTGTTATCTATCAAGTTGATGCGCTGTGAACGAAAATGGGGAGGACAGCAGCGTTGTCCCGAGTGCATAATGTCTTGTGAAACGTGTACCTTGAAGAAAAAGCGTCTCGTCCTCAAATATTCATTGTACTTCCTTTTGTTGTTTCAGTCGTCGTCGAATAATGCACCAAACCTCGGAGTAAGCGAGAAACGGGAGCACTTGTATAAAATACTAGTAATCGGCGAGCTCGGGGCGGGGAAAACGTCTATCATCAAACGATACGTGCATCAATTCTTCTCTCAACACTATCGCGCGACGATTGGCGTTGACTTCGCGCTCAAAGTGCTGAACTGGGATCCACATACCATCATCAGACTGCAATTATGGGATATCGCAGGTCAATAGTAACTCACAAATGTTTCACTTCTTTCTTTCTACGAGTTAATAACGGAACTCAATGCTCGTGTGACAGATAGATTAACAAGCATATGTATGGCTTTCACTTTCTATTTACTGAGAAACACCTTAAGATTTCCGATAGTTTAAACCATAGTCGAGTTGTTGCATGAATAATATAATCTTGTTAGAATGTTATTTAAATGATTTTCGAGATACAGTTTTTATTTAAAATTATAATTACGTACAATGTTTAATATACTTGACTAATTCTTACATTTAATGGTCCGCTTAGGTCAAGAAAGATTCGGGAACATGACCAGAGTTTACTATAAGGAAGCCGTAGGTGCTTTCATAGTGTTCGATGTGACGAGAAGCGCGACGCTGGACGCGGTGGTAAAATGGAAACAGGACCTGGATTCAAAAGTGCAACTTCCCGATGGATCGTCGATACCGTGCGTTCTGCTGGCGAATAAGTGCGATCAGCAGAAGGAAGGTCTGGTTAACTCGCCCGCCAAGATGGACGAATACTGCAGAGAGAAGAACTTTTCTGGCTGGTTCGAAACCTCGGCGAAGGAGAACATTAACATCGAGGAAGCAGCCAGATTCCTTGTCAACAAAGTAAGAGATATTTCACGTTACTTTCATATTAAATCACAAATGTTAAGAAAAAGGGAGATACGCGATCGTGAATAATTCTGGGGCTCGAAAGTAAGATAGAAAGACATTAATAATTGTGTGGAGACTTTGTGTCGTATAATCGCCCAAGCTTTACACGCCTATTGCTTATGCGTGACGTATGACGGATTAATCATTGACGTCTTTCGCCCTAGAAATGATCGACTTATGATGCATAATTAATTAATTGACGTGAAACCAATCGGCGTCTCTGGTGTCCGCATGCCAAACTTGCGATCGGATAATTGCTATTATCGCTTTACTTAATGTTTCAGCGCTTGTATTAATTTAGTTAAGACTGTTAGTAATAAATATATGCAAAATGTTTGTTTCAGATACTTCAAAATGATCAGGTTATAAGAGACAACGGTATCCAGGAACAGACAGACAACGAGAGATTCGCGTTGAATCAATCGCCGACGAGTTCCAAAAAATCCTGCAGCTGCTGACGAATAAGCAAATTGTTGAACTCAAGTTCGAATTCTCGGTCACGAATTTCCACCTATCGACCTCAACGTGTCTTCGCAGATGCCATGAGAATCATGATTTTCTACACTTTGCCATTTTTAGTAATAGGGAGCATCTGCTTATTCTCCAGCGAGAATCTTTTATAATGTGCGAAGATTATTTGGGTTTGCCAATCCAAATCATTTTTTTATACATATACAGCACGAGCAAGCCATACTTTAAGTGTAATAAACTAAACAGATTTTTTAACATTTCTATAAACAGTGCTTTTGAAATGCATATAATAAGGTTACAACAATCTTGACAAGATCACCGATGTGCATTCTTTCTTAATTAATTGACACGTGCATTTAAATTAATTAGAGTAGATTTGTATATAACACTGCTTTCTACCTAAAAAATTATGTGAATAACTGTTATTTATACTATTGCTTCTAGCGTTATTGATGGCAAGAATTAAGAATCTGGTGTGTATACGTGTGGTAAAGAGCGTAATGCTATTTATTGTGTCATTCGGTAAATTAAATCAATTATACATCCACATAATTCGATAAAATCAAGACAAAACACTTTTGATTGCTTTCTCGTTAGATTTACAGTAATACGCTTCCCAACTATACTTCCATTTCGCTGTTTACTTTATAGATTAACTTCCATTGCCGACAACATTGTGCCTTCGTTCGCACAATCGCAGCTAGTTACACATGACAGCTGATTGTAATTAGAACATTAAACGACCATTTTATATAAACCGCGTTTAGACCAATTTTGCTAGTAGCATTTTTTGGACTGCGACATTTGCAATATTTGGATTAAAAGGTGAAAAATAAGAATCTTTAATGTATCGCTTCCCAAGTTGAGAAAGGTGCAGAGGTATATAATGTTCTTGATGTATGTCTACGTATAGAAGCATACGTCTGTTAGTAAGGTATATATCAAGAGCATACACTTGTACGTATATGCTATTGACATGTACCTCGTACATTGTAAATAATTTAGATTTTACACCAATGATCTTCACTTTTCGAGCGATGTTCGCATGTTTGCACTTTTATATAATATGATTTAACAATGCGGCGTGTATCGTTATTGCAGAGAAAATTGTAGATATATATATACATATATAAACATACGTTACATGTTATTTCTTCGAAGTGTTGTAATGTATCTAACACGCTATTACTATCTAACAGTAATAATAGCAACATACCTGCCTCTATTTTTAGTCTTTTTGTATAAATACAAGGCATAATTACGAAACGATGTTTAACTATAATATTAAATTTGTTAATATGAGAGAATACTGTTAAATCTCTGTTTCCGTTATTTGGTTTCCGATGTATTCTTTGAATAATATTCGTCCGAAATTGTAATGATGAAAGCGTTTAAGTTCGAGACAACAGATCCTAATTATTAACTTGCTTCTTAAACATTGACACGACTTCCTATTTTATCTGAAGAGATAACGACGATAAGAAATATTAAGGAATAGAGGAAAGAGATAGTGGCATTTGCCTGATTGCGCGACTCCCGGTATTAACGAGCTTCCAAAGATGTGAGACGGATAGTTGGTGTAGCTGACAGACTTATTTGAGATGATTTCCCACGTTTCTGAGCTTTTTTGGGAAAATTTGTCCGTTACTGTGCCCGCCAGAGATGATGACTGTTCGACAAAACTGTGGTGCAAGTTTTGGCGTAGAAAACCTGTGAAAGTGTCGAATATACTGAAAGGAGGTAATTCTCTCTGTTATTATTGAAAACGATGGGATACATTTGTATCTGGGTTTAGCGAGACGTCGGTTGTTCAATGATTTGTGGTTTATTAATCGACAACAAGTAGTATTTCTATTTATGAGTAACAATGCTTCTTTTGCGTAAAGTATCCGGGTATGCAGAGACTGGCAACATGTTCGCTATATTGGGGCCGAAGTATGCAAAACAATGCAAATATATATCTTCGTGAATGTTCCACGCGAAGTTCACGGACGCATAAACTTGTTTCTCTAGTGGTGCTGGCAAGACGACGTTGCTTGCCGCTTTGGCGAGAAGACTCGAATTAACTTCGGGCGCGGTAAAAATCAACGGGCACGACGTTTCTCGGGAAACGATGACAGCAATATCGAGCTACATACCGCAATTTGATGTTCTACCTTCCGCGCTCACTCCCAGGGAACACATGTCCTTCATGGTATCGAAAAAAATATATACGAGAATCTATAAAATAGTGCAAACAATTATTGACTTGTAATTCTTATGATTGTAATTTTCGCACGAATTATTTTTGACATCTCAAGCTGTGTTTTTCAGTGCGCTTTGAAAATAGGAAGTAATTGCAGCGTGCAACAAAGAAAATCCTTAGGGGAGGAATTTCTGCGAGATCTTGGATTGTGCGAGTGCATCGACACCGCTATATCTGAGCTGTCCGGCGGCGAAAGAAAGCGCTTGTCGCTAGCCGCGGAATTGGTCACAAAGCCGAATATTTGTTTTTTAGACGAGCCAACCACGGGTAAGAATTGGATCGAAATGATTTAAGCGAAAGGAGATCTTACGCGTATCGATCCTTAATCGTCGCGAATATCCGGATGTTGCACGTATATCTGTCCACAGTAATAATTTTTATGAATTTTATATATTCCACCTTTATGCTTTTGAGCCGCTCCTAGTAGCACAGTGCATTGGCTAAATATTGGGCCAATGTTTAACCAATGCATTGTGCTACTGGGGACGTGCCGATTGCTATTGAGAGCGAGTTTCACAAACGTCGGTTAACTGTTAACCAGAGCTCAGTAAACTCCCTATCTTTTCCTATCTTATTATTTAAGGAAAGACAGAGAATTAATTAACCTTTGGTTAGCAGTCGACCGACGTTTGTGAAACTAATGTCGCTTAACTTTGAGCTTAGTTTAATACGTTCTTTGTCTCTTTTCAACTGTTACTTCAGAAAGAGACAGACGTGAATTAAACTATAAGATTAAAGTTAAACAATGTTGGTGAAACCGGACCTTAGTCTTGAAACGCAATCTCGTGCCAAAGCTTGACAATTAATATTAGAATCAGCTTAATACTACCGACGCTAATGAACAATTTTGCGAAAAGTATAAACATTGCGGGCGCAGGCTTGGACACTTCTGCCGCATTGCACGTCGTGCAATCGTTGAAATTAATCGCCTCGAAAGGCGCTATGGTCTTCTGCACAATTCATCAGCCAGGTATGACGATATACAATATATTCAGCCACGTGATACTGATGGCCGGTGGTAGATCGGTATATTTTGGGACCTTAAGGAACGCTACGGAATTTTTCGAAAGGTAAAGCTCTGACGTCCCGACGCTCACAATTAGTTTCGTTGCAAAATAACGGAACAACAGCGATATATTTTACGCACAGCCAGGATTATCAGTGTCCCGTGAACTACGACGAGTCCGAGTATTACGTAAACGTCCTGTCGCGTCGAGTGGATTGCGATCTCGAGCTGTGCCAAGCGTTCTCACGATCGCCGCTATCGAGGGTCCCCGCGATCGAGAACGTCCCGGCTTTCCACGCCAGCCCTCGAAAGTATTGAAATAAAACGGCGGCAAAATTTCTCGGGGTAAATTTTCCCAGGTAAAGTTCACAGAATTTAATCGTCTTTTCAGAAAATCAGGATGGTTCGTGCAGTTTTACTGGTTGCTCTGGAGAACATTCCTGCGGGACAAGAGAACGGCCCTCGACAATTGGATCGCGTGGTTCTCTTGCGCGGTAACAAGATAAAAGGGGGGAATTTGGAGTGACTCGGATCAAAATTCGATTAATTTAATCGGCGATCGACTCGACCGACAGAATTGCTTGCAAACTTTCCAACGATATCATCCGTTGTTCCCAATCTAATTTCTTCCGTATGTTAAGTAATAAAAGATTAACTCTCCACGTTAACGTCGTAATGCAGGTACGATAAGTTAATCGCCGATTAAGCGGAGTCATCCTTGGAACCGGACGTTGTTAGAAACTAAAAAAAAAGGGGGCAAAATTAAATGACAATGCAGATGTGTGATCTCGTAGCTATCTATCGTCTTCATATATACCTTTTACGCTGGCACCACGTCGTCGACGCAGGAGGGGATACAGAGCGCTCGGGGTGTGTTGTACTTGACCATCTCCGAGGTGATTTTCACGGTCGCCTACTCCGCCGTTTACGAGCTGCCCGGCGAGCTTGCTCTGTACACGCGCGAGGATACCGCGTACGCGCCGGGGCCTTATTATCTCGTCACTGTTCTCGCCTCGGTACGTACCCGCGTGTCTCCCCAGTAAGAACACCGACATCGAATCGACGTCACTGGGGTCGAAACCGTCGAATTGTATCTGTATTTCAAAAGATTTCCTCAAATGTCTTACACTTGTACATTCTCTAATCATCACGTATATGCATTTACTTGAACAAGAAGAAACTCCTAAGCAGTATGTTAGCTTCATCTCCAAATCCTGATGTTGAGGCTTTGAAGCTTTGTAGCTCCTAAACTATTGCTTTTAGGAGATGGTGCCCATTGACACTTTTTATCAGGAAGGTGTGGGCAATAACATATTTTAGTTTCAGCGAAATTTAACCGAAAGCCATGTAAAATGTGCGGGCTCTTTTAATACAAAAAATAAAGTTTCGAAGCTCTTAATTATCTTCGAAAACTGATGGTTGGAATCTCGTTGACGTCGATTCGACGTTAGTTGACTCCACGATGCTAGAAATCGGATCGAGATCTCGGACCCATTTCTAGCATCGCGGACACAACTTTAGAAAAGCGGGCGCGTCCGCGACATTATTAATTACGGTTTCCCGACGAGAAACTCCTCAGGTAGCGAAGGCGACGTTCAAGGCGCTCCTATTCACGATCGCCCTGTACCTGGCGTTGCATTCCGAATTTTCGCCGCTCGGCTTCTCCTCCTATTGTCTCTGCACGATGGCGGCGGCGATCTGCGGTGTCGCGTACGGCATGACGATCTCCAGCTGGATCGTCGACATCGATATCGTAACCGCGATAATGATACCGTTCGACTTGTTGTTTCTCCTGACGGCGGGTACGTTTTACAATCTGCGGTAAGTACCGGCCGCTCCCGATATTACGTCAAGTGGAATTCCACGTCGCGCACATGAAAAAAAGAAGGTACGATTCCCGTAGGACTCTGCCGAACTACCTGGCGTATCTCAAATATTCCTCCGTGTTTTACTACGCCAATGAGGCCATATCGATAGTGCACTGGTCGCAGATCGGCTATATCGGTGAGAGACGGTAAGGCGAGGGGTAAACCGCTGATGGCATTGTGGTGTACCGATTTGCGGCATTACTGGGCATTACTAGGCATTCTTTGGACATGTATGCCTTGCTGGAACATTGTAAAGATAAAATGAGATAATAAGATAAAGTAATGCCCATCCCAGTGAGAAATGATTCGTCGATCGACGTCGAATCGACATCATTTCGACGTCGATCGACGAATCATTTCTCACTGGGATTGGGCATCAGCCCAGTCAGAAATGACTGGAAAACCGACGTCGAAACGATATCGAATCGATGCATTTTTGGTTCCATTTTCGAGCCAAGTCGAAAATGGAACCAAAAATGCATCGATTCGATATCGTTTCGACGTTGGTTTTCCAGTCATTTCTGACTGGGAGTAGGCATTGGTGTGTATGATTTTGGTCAGCGGCCTACCCCTCGCGGCAAGGTCTCCTGGGCTGCGCCGAGCTTCGTTAACATTCTAATCTTTCTTCCCTTAGAATGTCCAGGCCGCGGTCTGCCCTGTCTGTCCAACGGAACGGAGGTTTTGTCGGAGTTCGGGTATAACGAGAGCAACTTTCGATGGGACATGTTCGGTTTGCTGCTCCTGACGATTCTGATGAACATCGCCGCGTACCTCGGCACAAGGAGAAGAAGAGCGTCGATCGCTGGCTACTCTTACTACTAGTCGCGACTTCCTGTTATTAATATTATGCAGAAACTTCCTCGGATTAGGATGAATTGATAATACGCATTCATTTATGATGTCATTTATTTGTCGGAAAAATAATAAAGAATACGCGGCGTATATTCTGGAGGGAGCGAAAGGTTACAAATGTTATCTTGGAGGCTGATAAGACAAGGCTACAACGGTAATAATTATTAGGCGTTAAAGTGTATCCCTGATGAACACTTTTTTCACAATTTTTATACGAATTGATACACTTTTCAGCTCGCCCGTTTTCGTAGAATTTTTCATACGCGTGAATATTTTCAGATATAAATGTTTGAAATTATAGAATGAGAAATTTCAGAATATTTCCGAATTTATGCATATGGAAGATTCTAGGAAAGACACAAACTTTCTCGGGACTTCTGAAAAGCGCTCCGATTTGTGCAAAAGGTCTGAAAATTTTGGCAAAAGATTATAAAATTATTGAAAATCTTAAAAATTCTGCGAAACATCTTCACTGGGGATTGTGTGTGCAAAAACGAATGCGACTGCAAGCTTGACAAATCGTTAGAATAAACGAGACTCATTATTATCAAGCAAATTCTCACGACGCACGTATGCCACGCCGTAAACTCGCGCCGTTAGTATTTCTCGTCTTCCTCTCGGGAAGCTAAAACTTGTCGTGCGAACGCAAAGTCAAGTTAATCTCCTTACGCCAGACTAATTTAATCGTGCGTTACGCAAACTGACGTCGTAAAACTCGAGTATAAAGAATAAGAATAAAGGAAGACTGTAAATAGCGATTACGCAGTCTCTCCGTTAGTTTTCCTGACAGATTTAAGAGAAGGCGGTGGCTTTCGCGTTTCTTCAACCGCGCACGGTCCTCGTCGCCGATACGCGACGAGACAAATTCTGTTATTAATAACCGAGGGAGATTTTAATATTTATCTTTCCCCATTTATCTTTATTTATTCGTAATATACGATTTCAGTCATTTAAATTTTATTCGCAGTAGTGCCATCTCCGTTGAGTTCGGTTCACGAGCTCTCGCTCAATCAGTCGAAGAGTCGAGATAATCTTCCTCCACGACCGATTTCCGGGCCAAGAATCGGGGAGGGGGCGGGGAGGGCGAAGGGGAGAGGGTGGCGAAGGGCGGGGAAGCGGCGCGTTTGCAGCCGGAGCGACAGTAATATTGGAATCGGCGCAATATGACTCCACGACAGGTCGCGAAACGAAACGAAACGAAACAATGTTTGCGTTGCGCGGAACGTCGCGGATATCCCCTTCTCTCTCTCTCTCTCTTTCTCTCTCTCTCTTTCGTCCTCTCATCTCGTTCACAGCCAGAGGGCTTCTTCTCCCGTCTCCCGTCTCCCCCCACCGTCCCGCTGGCGCCGCGCGAACCGAGGATTTGTTAATATCGAGCGCGTTCTAGCTAGTACCGTGCCAAAATGGCCGACGTTTAGTCGTCCCTTAGTTCGGGTTTAAGTCGGCCACTCGCTCTCCGCCACGGGCGTCCGCGCGTCGAGTTTTGTCCCCGGCATCGCTCGCTTCGCTACGACACTCGTGCCACGCGCGTCTACGTCCCGCGAGCCTGATCCGGCACCGAAATATCACGAGCGTAAAGCCTATCACACAATGCCCGGCAACAGGCAATAGGAATATGGAATGAAATTTTTGACGCGTTCGACTCGTCGGAAATTTCCCTCCAACCGATCCGACGCGTCAGAAATTGTATTATTCCCTGCTCCTGTTACTCGGCATTGTGTTTGGGCCTTAAAGCCTATCACACAATGCCAGGCAACGGGCAATGGGAATAGAATTTCTGACGCGTTGGATCGGTTGGAAGAAAATTTCCGACGAATCCAACACGTCAAAAATTCTATTTCCTACTGCCCGTTGCCTGGCATTGTGTGATAGGCTTTCGATTCGTAAGAAATTTTCTTCCAACCGATCCAACGCGTCAGAACTTGTATTCCCTGTTCCTGTTGCCTGGCATTGTGTTTGGGCCTTTAATCCTATCACACAATGCCAGGCAACGGGCAAACAGGAATAGGGGAATAGAATTTTTGGCGCGTTGGATTCGTCGGAAATTTTCTTCCAACCGATCCAACGCGTCAGAACTTCTGTTCCTGTTGCCTGGCATTGTGTTTGGGCCTTTAATCCTATCACACAATGCCAGGCAACAGGCAAATGGGAATAGGGGAATAGAATTTTTGGCGCGTTGGATTCGTCGGAAATTTTCTTCCAACCGATCCAACGCGTCAGAACTTGTATTTCCTGTTCCTGTTGCCTGGCATTGTGTTTGGGCCTTTAATCCTATCACACAATGCCAGGCAACAGGCAAATGGGAATAGGGGAATAGAATTTTTGGCGCGTTGGATTCGTCGGAAATTTTCTTCCAACCGATCCAACGCGTTAGAAATTCTATTGCCTGGCATTGTGTTTGGGCCTTAAAGCGTCCCGTAAATTCTGGCCGATTAAAACGGGAGTAATTGAAAGACCCTCGCGACCGACTAAAACGTTTCGAGCGAGGGGACACCCGGGTGTCCGTACGAATGCTCCGAGTCGGATTACGTCGTCCGCGAGGAAACATAATCGCCGGCGACTTTCGAGGCACGCGGTAGATGCGCGTTCACGCCGATAGCAACTAAACAGCTGACTGTTTTAAAACCGCGCTTAAACAAGCAACCCGCGGGGCCGCGAAACGGAGCGGCGGATCGGCGCGCGGCGGTGCGCGACAGGCGTTTCGTGCTCGCGCGGATCGAGCGAGCGAGTGAAATCTCGTGGATCGGCTTTGTGACAGATTGAACAAAGGTCGGCGCGCACGCGCGATCGCGACCGCGACCTTGCGTACGGAGATGTCCTCTTCCGCGGCGAGCGAGGCTACCGCGGCGACCACGGCGCTGCTGAAGAAGCGAGAGAGGACGCAGAACTGGATCCCGGAGGAGAAGAGCGCCCTGTTCGACCTGATCAAGCATCACGTGGCCGCGATCGAGAACAAGAAGATCGACGCGGCCGCGTCCGCGACCAAGTCGCTCGCCTGGCAGCAGATTTACTTGGCGTTTCGCGGCCGATTCTCGGCGGACCGGGACATCGTCAGGATCAGGGAGCAGTGGCGGAGGATGAAGGCGCAGGCGAGGATGGAGATGTACACGTACGCGGAGAAGGTGCGGCCGCGAAAGTTAAACGCGCCTCTCTCTCCTGTCTGACCCAGCGAGAAATGACTGGTCGATCGACGAGCCATTTCTCGCTGGGAAGTTTCCTCTCCTCGTTTCTCCCTCACCGTCGCGCTGATGCACAGGTACGGACCCTGGGGTCGGAAGCGGCCGCCAAGTCCCGTCCGTCGAATCTGTCGATCGAGGTGTGGCGGCTGATGGAGAGCGTGCGCAACAACGACTGCGAGATCGCCGATCGCTCGGACGACAGCAGTCAGGATAACGAGAATCCGACCAGTCGGATGTCGATTAACGCGATCCTGGACAAATTGACGTTGCCCACGGAAACGTCAGGTTGGACCTTACTGACGATCGTCGCCGTTTCTTCTTTACTTTTCGCGACTTCCCCCATCGACTCGGGAGAACCGAGCCAAATTATCGAAATCATTATCTAGGGCCGGTGCGGGAGATTAAGATCGAGGTGACCAGCGATACCGAGGACGAGAACAGCCACGGCGAGCTGTCGCGAAAAGTATCGGTGGACCATTTCTCGCGGCGGAAGCGACCCAGGATCGCGGCCGTGGACGAACCCGTTGATCTCGTCGAGCAAAAGATCGCTTGCCCCGACAGCGTGTCGACGTCCCGCGTCGACGATGGTACTTTACGTTCCTCTGCTTGTATCGCGCGCGCGCGCGCGATGGGATTTTGCAATCAGCGAGCGGTTTTGTTTTCAAGCGTTGGAGCACAGCGACGCGAGAAACGAGCCGTCCGTCGGCTGGAACGACGACTCGGCGGCCTGCGACAGGGATAAATCGGCGCAGAGGGCGACGTGGATCTTCAAGTCTACCCAGCGCGAGCACGAGCTCAGGATGCGGATGCTGCACATCGAGCTGGAGCGCGCGGAGCTGCAGAAGCAGACCGCCGTCAACGAGCTGAAAACGTCCGAGTTCAAGAAGCAGCTGGTGCAGGATCAGCTCGACGAGTACTACAGGTCCGATTGAATCGATCGACAATTCATTCGCTCCAATTGCGCAATTGCAATTTACGGCCAAGTGCCATATTGTATAAGTCATTATCGTTAATTTAACTTTTCTCTCGGAAACTGCAAAAAAAAGCAACAGTTCTAGCCACATTAACGAAATAGGGGCCGCTCCGATTAACTTTAATCGGCGATTAACTCAATCAGCAGTGTCGCCAACATGAAGACTTGTTGTGTGTGTCGTTCTTAAGGCAGGATACCACTTTGACTGCGATTTTGGAAGCGTTTTTCATGAATTTTTTTGCATACAAAGAGTGCGCAGAAACAAAATCGGTTTTAGTCATTTATTAATGTAACTTTAGTCTGTAATTACAAACTGAAAAAGTTTCAAAAATAATCTCTTGTAGGTGGCGCCAAAATACATTCCTTTGGAGGAACACCGTTAGACGGCGTGTCAAATTCCGCTCTGTACGTGGCTCCTAGAAAAAAAACCAAAGAATGTTCCTGTTAACAACAATATTTTTTAATGCTGTACGTAGGGATTTTACGAAATTTCGATTTTTAAGAAAATGGCGGTTATTTTAACAAAAAGGTTTACCCTAAAAAATTGACCTTTATGTTAAAATGACCACCATTTTCTTAAAAATCGAAATTTCGTACAATCCCTACGTACAGCATTAAAAAATATTGTTAATAGGAACATTCTTTGGTTTTTTTTCTAGGAGCCACGTACAGAGCGGAATTTGACACGCCGTCTAACGGTGTTCCTCCAAAGGAATGTATTTTGGCGTCACCTACAAGAGATTATTTGTAACTTTTTCAGTTTGTAATTACAGATTAAAGTTACATTAATGAATGACTAAAACCGATTTTGTTTCTGGGCACTCTTTGTATGCAAAAAAAATTCATGAAAAACTCCTCCAAAATCGCAGTCAAAGGTGGTATCCTGCCTTAACTCAATCTTTTTGATGCATGGTATAATTGTGATTTCACGAATTAAATTTAAAAAACTCTTCTTGACAACGTACAACAGCCTTAACATAGATGGAACTGTTGAATTGTTACGTCTGTACAACAGGTTACTAAGAGTTGGGTTAAAAACGACACACGCAAGTCTTCATGTTGGCGGCACTGCTGATTGAGTTAATCGTCGATTAAAGTTAATCGAAGTTGGTTAATGCCCGTTTCTACCAATGCAGATTAACTTTAACCTCAGCTTAAATTACTTCTTGTCCTTTTCCAATTCATAAAACTAGAGAAAGATACAAGGCAAGTTGAACCGAGATTAAAGTTAAACTGCGTTGGTAGAAACGAGTATAAGGGCCACTTTAACCAACTCCGATTAACTTTAATCGGCGATTAACTCAATCAGCAGTGTCGCCAACATGAAGACTTGTGTGTGTCGTTCTTAACTCAATCTTTTTGATGCATGGTATAATTGTGCTTTCACGTATTAAATTAAAATACTCTTCTTGAAAACCTACAACAGCTTTAACATAGATGAAATTGTTACGTCAGTACAACAGGTTACTAAGAGATAAGTTAAGAACGGCACACGCAAGTCTTCATGTTGGCGACACTGCTGATTGAGTTAATCGGAGTTGGTTAAAGTGGCCCTTAGGTACGGTTTCACCAATGTTGTTTAACTTTAAGCCTAGTTTAATTCGTTCTTCGTCTCTTTCCAACTGTTACTTTAGAAAGAGACAAACGTAAATTAAACCAAGATTAAATTTAAGCGACGTTTGGTGAAACCGGGCCTTGGGCCCTGTTTCACTAACGTCGTTTAACTTTCAACGTAGCTTAATTGAAATAGAGTAAAATAGGGCCATTTAGCTTAATTCGTTCTCTGTCTCTTTCCGGCTGTTACTTTAGAAAGAGGGCAGACATGAATTAAACCGAGATTAAAGTTAAGCCACAGTCGGGCCTCAGCTGTGAGCAGGTGATTGCGTTTAAATTCACGAAAGCTCGCGACACGAGCGCCACGATGCCGCTGCTCGCCACCGAGTTCCGCGTTCTAAGAATAGTGTTACGTTCATGACTCGGATATCGGCTCGGCACCTCGTCCCTGTCGGTTTGCCAAGTCCTCGCTGGCCTTCTAATAACGAGTGTCTCGTGATTGAAAAAAAATGCAACGGGCAGTTACGACGTTTTCGCGGAACATTTCTGCACTAAGGTACCGGAAAAGCTCCCCAGCTTCCAAGCCGAACGACTTTTCGACGGTGCTCGCCCGCGAGGCAGACTCGTGTCTCGTAGCCGGCACTTTTCCAGCGCACACACTGATGTATCGCTTTTATACGCAGTAACGTACCGCCGGTCTTCTCCCTTTCGTATCTTATCCTTTCGCTCACATAAGTAGACAGGTCGCATCTCCACGGTGCATTACACGTTTGTGACACGACCCAAGTATGCCGTATCAAAATTATGTAATAATTAAGAGAGCAGACATAACCTCGGAATAAGATCAAGCGGAAACTTTGTGTCGTTCTTTGCAAGCGCCGTGTTGTATTTGAAACGCGCTTTGTTACAGCCAAGCGAGAATGGCTGGAGAACGGGGCTCGGGTGCTGGCAAGGGAGGCGGTACCGGTGGTGCTATTCGTGACGCTGGTGGTTCTTTCGGGAAGATGGAAGCCGCCCATGAGGACCAGTACTTCTACAATCTGGTCAGTATATACTTTCTGCACGATAATGTTCGTTCAACGTCTCGTTCGCGCCTTGCACTGAATCCGAAATTGTGCTTCAGCAAAAGGAACAGCTGCGGAAGATGCGGGAGAGCCTGCACGACGAGATCTCATTCCACGAGGAGCAGATCAAGCGCCATCAGGAAGCTATAAATCGCCACAAAAAACGGATCACGGATATGGAAACCAAAGAATGAGCTAAGAAATTATATTAGCGTGATACTCTCGACCGATCTCGGCGGCTATGCTATTATCTCGACGCAACGAAGATAGGCCGAAGATAGAATAGAGTATCACAGTCTTCTTATGTATAAACTGTTTCATTATATAGATATTAAATACAATGCTCTTAATACATACAGATATGTTATTTGAGCGTTGAGAAAATTGCGTTTCCTCGGATATTATACGAACCGCTTATTTTGGCGAGGCCGTCGTACGACGGTCTGTTTGTACTTTAAACGTCTGGGAGGTATACTTGGTAATAAAACGTGTTTTTCATTGTTGCTTAATCTTTTGTTTTAGACGTCGAGTCATTCCGGGGCGCGCCAAGTCCGACCCTGAATCCGAATCGGATGCGAGTTTGTTTCTCGCCCGTCTCTCGTAACCTCGTTAAAAGTATCTTCCGTCTGACACACAGTCAAAATTGCACTGTATACAAGATATATCCATTTTGCGTTACAATTTTACTTGGCGGCCGCAATGCTCCGACGTGTTCTCGCGGAAGCGCGCGTACATACGCCCGGGTACTTAATTCGATAATATTTCCGCCGTGATTTCCATCGGAACTTGCGTGATTTTTCCAACCGATGTAGGCGGTGACTCTTCTCTCGGTTTCAGGCATTTTAACGGGAGGAAGAAACACGATTCCAAACCGGATCAGGCGTCGTTCGGTGACGTTGCGTGTTGTGAGGCGGACTATTTTTACAAGCAGGTGATACAAACATTTCAGAGTCAAACGTTAACTGCGACGTTAAGGCATTGCGAACGATTAGGATAGGAAATTGCTGAAAGTTGTTAAGGAGAGGACGCAGGACGAGGTGGAGCACATGCGGAGAGAAGTGCAGATCATGCGGGACAAGATCGAGGAATATAATCGCGGCATAAACGAGAACCTGAGATTTTTGAGGGGCCTGGAGAGAGATCTGTCCGCCGGCGACAAAAAGACCTAGGCAGTCGTGCGTTCGTTTAAGAATCTGTAGGATTCCCATTTCGAATAAATGATTCGGATTTTTCCCTCAATCGCACGGCTTCTTTATACATTTAGGCGACCTCTAAACGTAACAATTTCTGGCATAATGATATCGATCGCTTCTCACGTTTGCGCCAATTTATATCCGTTCTATTTTATTTATACGTTAACATAAATGCGCTAGTAAACACGTGCAATATGCACGAGACAAGGAATACCGTGAAATTTGTGTATGAACTTGGCAAAAAATTATCTAATGTAACGATACGTCGCTTTCCAAATAGCACGGATTATAAACTCATGAAAGATTCGCTTTTCAATATTCCGTATGAATTAGCGTAATCTGCTCCAAATAAACTCGAAGGAAGTTCCTTTCCGGTGGTACAGAAAGATTCTATAAAAGTTTTGACAGCTTTTGACTTGTCGCGAAAGTAAGTTAAAGTTGTTCCGAATATAAAGAATTTCCTTTCCGGGAAAGAGTTCAGAATTCTTTTCGACAATTCTTAAGAATCTTTTTTTTATTCCTCCTAAATGTTTTCCATGTTATGGTACACGGGACGAAGATAGATAAATAGAATTCTATCTTGAATTGCGAGGCACAGGTCAGTCGAAATCGATTTAATACGGCATTAGTGTCGTCTATTGTCCAGATATTTCGTTACTATGCACATACATCGTAGACGATTATATAGTAATAGCGTTTCTTTATTTAAAGCTGTGCTTCCGCCCGCATTATTCGCGTTCGATCGGGAACAAGTTTTCGTTTCGCAGTGCGACGCAACGTAATCGCATTGTGAAAGTACGTGCGCTCGTTCGCGAGACGTCGGTACGATAAATTTGCTTGAATTTAGCGCCGCATCGCTTAGGCTGCATCGTTAGAACATTCGAAACAGCCCGTACTCGTCAATTACCTCCCGGAGGATTTACGTCCATTTCTATCCTTTTTCTAATTCATTCACGGAACGCGAAAGAGATATAAAAGGAGATCAAGGTTAATCTACATCGGCAAAATGGGGCGTCACTGATTAATCGCGAGATTTCGTGTCCATTTCTATCAATTAGATTTGGTCTCTTCCAGTTGCAAGAATTGGAAGGGGATAGAAAGTAAGTAGGATTAAAGCAAAGGCTGGCTTATGCAAGGCCGTGACCGTTAACTTGTGCCGGAATCGGTAAAAATGAACCGATACAGTCGACTATTCTCCTCACTTTTAAGGGGATCCTAAAGCCATCTGTTTTACCGACACATTCGAACATAGTTTTTGCGCTGATAAAACTTTTTATTAGCTCTTGTGCACAAAATAATGCCGGGATACGTTGCGGCCCGCATAGCAGAACATTTTCGTACTTAAAACACTCGGGTCAGAAGTCCAATGGAAAAGATATTGGTATTTAAAATTTTCAATTTTTAATCGTAAACAATTTGAAATTGGCTTCAATGAATCACAAAATTCTTCCACACGATTATAGTACGCATAGAAACAAAGCGCGGTTCACGACTTTATACAAAAAACGAAGAGAAAGTAAAAATATCACTTTATAAGTAATAGTGGTTAGGTCAGGTGACGGCTTCACATGCTGGTACTTTTAATTGCTCTTCGTTCTTTATATAAAGTCGCGAACCCCCCCGCTTTGTTTTTATGCGTACTGTAATCGTGTGGAAGAAGCTTGTAATTTTGTAAAGCCAATTTCAAAATTGTTTACGATTAAAAAATTGAAAATTCCGAATACCAATATCTTTTTCATTGGACTTATCCGAGTGTTTTAAGTATGAAAACGTTCTGCGATGCGGTCCGCAACGTGGCATTACTTTGTGCGCAAGAGCTAAGAAAAAGATTTACCAGCGCGAAAACTATATTCGAATGCGTGGGTAAAACAATTCTGACCGATTCCGAGATAACTGAACAAAGTCGCGGCCTCGCGTGAACCAGCCCATACAGCACAAACTTCCAAGGGACGTCCTCAGAACATCTTTAGGACGTCCTTAGGACGTAGAATGTCCTGCTGTATGGGAGCCTTGACACGGGCATCGGCAGAAAGCGCGGAAACGTCCGGCGACGGCGTTTCGAAACTGGCGCGAGATCGGCGGGACGGAGCAGCGCCACGCGCGCCTGCGCGCGCCTCGATTGGCAGATGACGCCGCGCGCGGGCGCGGCGCGGCGAGGCAGCATGGCGGCCAGTCGGGTCGGTCTGGTCGACGGTAGCGGGCGATCGTCGCGCCGCCCAGTGTCTCGCGGTTCATCGATCAGTGTGGTGTGTGTCGCGCGTTGTTGTTCCGGGAGATCTTTTTTTTCCTCCCCCTCTCCCTCGAGCGGTACGTCCGTCCCGACGTTTGTCACGGGTATACTGCCCTCGCGCCGTCGTCTCGCGCGGAGCGTCGCCGTCCCTCGCGCCTGGCCGCCTTCCGCGTTCCCCGTCGATTCGTGCGCGTGCATACGGGACGGGCGCCGGGCGAGCGGGGCCCATCGGGATCACAGGATAGAAAGATGCGGCTAAGGATACGCTGGATACTTCTGGTCAGCACGGCCGTGGTGATCATCGCGGGATGCGACGCCGCCACCGAGGTGAGTTCCGTACAGTCGCTTTAGCACGCGGCCGCGTTGCGGCACGGGGGGCGGAGGGAGGAGAGAGAGAGAGAGAGAGAGAGAGAGATGGACGGAGAGCGAAGAAAGGCGGCCGTTCCTCGGAATCTTTCGGCGTGAGGGACGCTCTCCGTTTCCCCGCTTTTCTTTTCGACGTACAACGGTCGCGCGACCAAAGGCAAAAGCCTGCGCCTTTCCCTTCGTCGCGTTAAGTGTTACGCCGCTGTCGAGGCATTCCCGCATTCCTGGCGTCACGTCGGGCCAGTGGTGTTCAAATCGAGGCCCCTCAAGTGCGCCGCTTTCGCGTCCGAGTATGTTCGCCGTTTCTCTCCCTCTCTCTCTTTCTCCCCTTCTTGTGCTCGCGCGCGCGCGAGCCGTTCCTCATTCTTGTCTGCGGTTTAATTTTCGCGAAGCGCAGAAACGCAAACGTGTGCGCGACAACCGTCGCGAGGTTTTCAACGTGACACAACGTCCACCTCGAATCGGGACGACCGTGCGGCGGCGACGGGTCTCGCCGCTCCCGCCTGGGACCCTTAAAGGGACAGACGCGCCCGCGTACGCGAAAACAAAACGCTATTTCGGAGCGCCGCTCGTCATATGAGCGCGCCGAGTTGGAAAGTGACGCGCGCTCTCGCTCTCTCTCTCTCTCTCTCTCCCCCTCTCTCTCTTTCTCTCCCCTCGTTCTCTTTCTCTCCGCGAACTTTTGTTCCGCTAATAAGTAAACGTTCGCGCCGGAGAAGTTGCGCTAAAGATCGAGTTTATCCCCCTCTCCCCCCGATAGTACCGTAACGAGGGCGTCCGCGTTGTTAGCTTTGTTAATAGAAACTTGGGGAAAGAATCGGAACAAGTTCGGCGCGCGCGCGCGCGCGCGCCCAAGCTTCGCGATTCGCTAATGAGGAGTGGATTTTGAAATTGACGTTTCGGGGGCGCGCGCGCGCTCCCCCCCCCCCCCCCTCTCGCTCTTTCTCTCTCCGGGCGAACGGGCCCGCGGACAAATGCCAATTATCGTCGTGTCGCGCGTCCCCCTTGTTTATGTTTTTATCGCTGAAATTCCCGCGGCCGCTCGTTTAATTAGTAAGCGGGGAATATTCTATATCGCGAAAACGCGCGCCGGGCCTCCCCCCTCCGCGCGCGCGCGCGCGGCTTTTTGCGGAATAATGGCCGTTCTAATGATGGTCGCGCGGCGTAATTCGACGGCGGCAAAACACGCGAGCAAAATATTTGTAACGCTCCGCGCGGCTGCTTTTTTTTTCCCCCGCGATGCGCGTTGACTAATGGCCAGGATAACAATTTGTATAAAGGTGCACGCGGTATCGATTGTACAAGATATTCGGGCAATTTTGTTGTCACGTTACGTTACGACGCGCGCGCGCGCGGGCGAAAAGCGTTTCGTCGAAAAAGAGAGGAGAAACGAAAATAAAAACGGAGCGCCGCGTTAGATTTTATTGTCCGCGGAGCGGACGAGGAGGGGAGGGGGGGGGTGGAAGAGTCCTGGAGCGCAGCGTTGGTGCGTCACGATCGAAAAACAGCTTTGGGGCGATCGCGCGAAGGGTCGGGTGCGTAAGGGCGTAGCGCACTAAATTTTCCCCGAGGTCCGCGCGACGCGGATATTCACCGACTCTCGCCCGGAGACTCGGAACCGCCTGTCGCGGCCGTCGAATAATGAGAGCCGCTCGAAAAATCGTATCTCGAGTTACGAGCCCTCGAGGCGAGGAGGGCCGTCGTCCTCCTCCTCGTCCTCCGCCCGGTCGGGCCGGAAAAAAGGAAAGATTGTCTCGCGAGAGACGCGCGGAATTTTCGGCGCGAATGCATTTCGGGGGAAAGACGGGGGGGGCTTTCTCGTTTGCCCTTTATCTCTCCCTTGGGCCGAGCATAAATCCCGTGCACCGCGCTTACACGTAGCGCAGTTACATTTTACAATTGCCGCGAGGACCTTTAATGCAAGCGGCGCGGAGGAAGGAGAAGTGGCGTGGAGGGGCGGGGCGGGAAGGGCCGCGCGTCCCGAAAGGCCGGCTGGTTTTAGCGGCCGATGAAATATCGCCGGTAATAATCTCGCTGTCTTCGCGCGGAAAATGCATACCTCGGTGCCGCGCCGCGGGTCGCTTCGCCGCCACGCCGCTTAAGCTATAAGAGGAGCTTATAAATATTCCCTCGTATCGCCGCGGCCGCCGTCTCCGCCGTCTCCGCCACGGGTCTTTAGTGGAGAAAGAATCGTTTCTTAATAGCGCGAGGCTCGTTATCGATGCCTTTCCGCCGAGTGCCTCGTCGAGCCGCCCGAAAATCGAGATTCTCCCCTCCCCCCATTTCTCGCCTTCTTCCCCCGCGTGATTATTTTTTAATGGCGCGTTCGCTCGCGATCCAATAACGAATGCCGCTCTCTGAAAATCAATCGGTGAATTATTGTTGTAAAAACAGCGAACTGATTAACTTTTAGAGAGTACAATGCGCTCGCGAAATTCTTTGTGCAGTAAACTTTCAAGGGGGTATAATCACTTGATCGTAATCGCGGGACAGTGTCACCGAAATTATTATGAAATCCTTACGAAGTCCCCGTGTAATCGTTTTCTCTTAATTTTCAAGTCTCTTCACTTAGACGATAAACCTTAAATTTGAATATTTTCTCAGTCCATTTTCCGAAAAAATCAACTTCTTTTAGCGCGCATCCAAATATATATCATAGTTCACATTTATAAACGCGTATTCTATTCATAATAAGACTGAAGTAGTTGCTGGCTGGTGGAACAACAGCGAGTCGAAAGGTTGATACACCTTTGCGCGCAAATTCGGAACAATAAACGGTAGATACAAATACAAAAAATTACCTTTCGTTAAGACCGCGGTTAGACAAGTGGGAAGCGAGGAAACACGTTTTCTACCTAAACGGATACTACAATCTTACCTGAAATTACAGGCAAATACTTGTTAGTAAAATAAGAAAATATATTTTGAGGAAATCTAACGGCTCGTTGAGGTTTAACGTTACATATTTTTCAACGTGCATGTAAGAAAATGATTTGCAATTAGATGAGACTATTTGTAATCAGATGAAATCGTGTAATCGGTGGGACAACATTTCAGCTAGCGGTTACCCCCTTGGTAAACTTCCGACATAATTTAATCGGATCGGGCAAATAATACCGTACGTGAGTTAATAATTTCGAAAAATTACAAGTCAGAAAGCTGAAACTTGACCGAGAAATTAAAGGGATGCGCGCGAACATTGAATGGAGCTAACTGAGAAATTAACAAGACACTCTTCAACCGCGCAGAAAAAGAAGCGTCGGATCAACTCTATGCTGTTTTGTACGTACGCAGCAGTCTGTAATCTTCTTAGAAGCGCGTGGTAATCCGACGTTTCAGCAATATTGCAGTCTTATTGAAACACTGCAATTGTCACATCGAGAACGCACGCGGAGTAAAAAATAAAATGTTAATGTCGACATTTTTCACTCGTTCCAAAAAGTCCACTCTAAATTTCGAGTTAAAATAACATTCATCGCGTGTGTTACTTTTTGACACACTATAAATGTTAATTAATTAACGCTATCTTCACGTTTATGCTTATGCTCTTTTAACCATAAGTGTGACGTAATGAAAACAGGGAGGATAAGTAAACTGTACGAATAGTTGCAAATCAGAACGGTTGAAATAATTTTTAAGAAACGTCGATATTCCACGTTTCGGTTGATTTTTTGAAATAGTTTTGTTAAACGAACTCAAGGTGATATGCAATTTTTAAATGACGTACATTGAGAGTCAAGTTATTACGTTAACATAAACATGGCACACAAAAATGTTGCGGAAATAATAATATATCTGTCTTATGTTAATTTTACGTTGAAATAATAATCAAGTCTTGGTAAGACAAGAGAACTTTAACATTTCAACATTTTCACTGCGTATAATTATTTTAATCATTATAGCCTTCGATTTGAAAATCTATTATCCGACATTGTTTCCTTTCCACTGAAGATAATTATTCTTTTATAGTAAGCATATTTTCTTTTATAGTAAGCAAACTTTCTTGTTTAAATTATATACAATTGCTTCGTTCAAGTTTTCCTACCTTTAACGCAATATAATCTCATTTCAAGATTTTCACGTTGAAACGACGTATTTTCCAAGGAAGAATATTCTTTTTTTCTGTGTGCACTGTCGAGAGAGTATTTCTTATTATAATTGAATATCACACGGTACTCTGTACGTGGTATCGAAGCTTTACATTGAAAACGATAAAAATGCCCCTCGGTCACATTCGATCTAACGGATACCTCCTCTACCTTATTAGTCCGTTAAATCGAAGGTTCGCTGCATTTGTTTTCCGCGAACCGTTTGGCCGTACGTACGGGGTGGGTGTGTTGTATGCGTGCGTTTCGCCAAATTGCTTCTCGGGCTCCCAAACAAAGAAATGTCAATAGGTGACTGGTTTCGTTCCGCGAACCCCCGTTTCTCGTTATCGGAGAATGGATATACGAATAGCCGACGTCGTACGGTAAATAAAGATCGTCGCTCGGCGACGAGACCCCGGCGCGGCTGACAAGAAGCCGCGAGTCGGCGACGAGCTCGGGCCGGTCAGCTGACGGCGGTGGATTTAATTTCGCGCGGCGGCTCGCCGTTCCGCGTGTTGTTCCGGGAAGAGCCGGAAGTCGGCGCCGACTCTGGACGGGGAGCCGCTTGTGACTTTCGGGGGCTCGTGAGGCCGGTCGTCTCTCGCTCCTCTCGGCCGGAAGGAGCGCCGATACGCGACGAGATCCGCGAACGATGGACATTAATGGCCTTTTACGGCGACGCCTGACCCGCCCGTCGTTAGATCGTGTCTCGTGGCTACTGGTACGTGTACCGGTATCGAGTACACGTACGCGCGCCGTTTGCGCGTGTGCGCGGGGAGAACGAGGGCATGTCTTTCGATACGACGGTGTCATGGTGTCGGCGTATATACGCCTGGCGTAAGTGTCGGTGGCGCTCGTTCTACGCCTTTCCTT